ATTGATTTGGTATATTTTTATAATATTATACAGTAAAATTACAATATAATAAATATATGTATAAAAAAAACTGGAGTTTAGTCCAGTTCTAGTTTTTTAAACGATCCTTCGAGCCCATAGCTTGTTGAATTAAATCGATTATCTTTATCAATTCGCTTGTTCTCGTCTACATGGTTGAATTTATCGTCGTTTTCAAAAAAAATCTTGTATACCTCAAAATTACTCTCTGTTTCTCCTATAAAATATTTAAAAACAAAATTGATTAATTGTATTATTTTACATATATAGCCACACTCACACTTAAATACTGTTAGAAAATAGATGTAAACAATTTTTACAAATCGTTTGTTAGACATAAAAAATGTATAATAGCCAATAGGTACATTTTATAATAATATATGTGTTTACTTATTAGGTTTGCTGTTTACTAGACCTTGAAATAATTGTTTTGCAATTGATAACTATTTCATAATTTATAGCTACGATACTGTTTATGTTACACATTTTAGTTAAAATGGATTTCAAAGAGTAAGCTTTTTAGACCGTGCATATTTTTTTTGCTTGCATGTTTCATCATATTGCTGTTAATTTTATGTAAGTATGTGACAGTGAGTATATAATAGGTGATGTATATATATAAATATATATATTTATGTTTATACCTTTTCTGGCTTCAAATGAAGGAGCTTTTCCACCCAAATCGCTGGCAAAGTATTCTTTTGGTATAAATTTGTAAACACTGTCCATATCATTTGCTGGGTGTACTGAAATCTGCATTTAAAATTAGTCTTAATAATAATAATTTAATGAACGTACTATTTATCAGTAAACAATCGAGTTTTAGTCACTTTTATAGGACACAGAACTAAGGTTTTGTTATTTGTGTCTCTTGTACCTACGTGATGGAACACCAAGAAAAGATTTTATAAAGATTAACAATAACGTAGTTTATTTTATTATATGAAATCAGAAATACATCGAACTAAATTGGGTATATTAAATTGTTTTTGTATTCCTACATTTTATCATATAAATTCTAAGGAAAATGCTATGAGATAACCCCAAAACTTTTATTTTTTTAGTTTAAGTGTTAAGTATGTAATACCTAAGTGAATCTGTCTCTTGAAATTATAATTGTGGACCTGTTTATAAATTATGATCATATATTTCACCATATTGGAATCAATTTCCAATTATTTTCGACAGTATTAATGGATTATCGGATTTTTTTTATACGATAAACGCGTGGAAACAAACGTTACAATAAATCATAGAATTAAGATTTATTCTAAAAAATTTTCAATTTAATCTTACCATCGAATATAAATGTTTGTACATTAATGGCTTTAAAAACATCATCAATTGGTTAGCCAGTGGTGGAGCGTTTATCAAGTGGACGGCTGTTAAGCGCATTGGCAGAGCTATCTACAAAAATAAAAATTTCAAATCAATCAATTTGGGATGTTATTAAATATTTCAAGCGCTATTCCGAATTGTACAAGAGTATTTAGAATATTGTGTATATACTATAAAGGTTTACCTATAGTACGTATTACGTAGGTAGTTAGGTCATAGTAAGGTTGCACCCAGAATTTAATTTGCTAACAATATGAAGKATAAAATTATTTTAGAGGTTCATAAAATTTTTTATATTTTAGGAGTTGTTTCGACAAGGTTGTATGCTCTTTTTTTAAACCAAAAGCTGTATGTAATGTCATGGCTTTCAATATCAAACGTTATTAATTGCAAGCCACAAAGATTATAATATATGAGGTCTACTAATGTTGTAGCTTAAAGTATTGTTTTTTAAAGAAATAATAAACAGTGTAAGTAATAAGTTACTTACCTATAACTTATAAGGTTAGAAACAACAAGGCACTAATTATTTTAATAATTTAAAATGTAAGTATTCATTAAGTAGGTTATTTTAAATATAAATTTGGTCTACAACAGTTTGGTAAATGGTAATAATCGGTTATATTAACTTAAACATTTGTATAATAATATGAAAATGTTTTAAAGATTTAATTTTTATTATTTATTTACACAAAACCTGTGGAATTAATTTTATGATGCTCTGATTTAAAAACTGCAGGTATCAAGTATAAACTTCGAGGCACTTAGAGCAATGAGCATTCTATTTATTTCTGGGTGAACATAATATATGATACATTTTTATTCGAATTCATATATTATATWATATTGTAATTGTAATTTATATTTACTTGCACGTAGGTCATGCATTTTTTCATTAGAGACAAATTGGTGAGCTTAGTCAAATGACCCATTGAGAATCCAGTCATATCCATCACAAATTTCCATTCCGGCGCCAGTGGATCCTCATCGATGCTTACATCAAACATTGCAAACACAAGTCGTATTGTGTCTAACGCGTTAAAA